CACACATGTTCACACATGTACGGTTTCTGCAACTCGCAATTGCAATGTAGGAAAAATAATATATTTTGTTATTCTGTGTTCAAATATACGGTCGACCAACATTCTATTCTAATATAATTTAATAAGATCAGAGACGTTGTACCTTTAGTGTCTTTTATCATTTTCAAAAAAACAAAGTGCTTTGTTGCTTGCCTCTCTACTCTACTCTTGAAGAACCCCGTGACATCTTTGCTCGCCTGACTCATCGCACAAGGTTGTCATTTCTCCAATTTCCTCGTATATTTTACTCGTCCAATTAATATCAGCCGCCTCCATAATCTGTGAAGCACTATTTTACTCGTCCAATTAATAGTTCTGCAAGCGAACTCCTTTTACTCGTCCAATTAATAGGTCTGCAAGAGAACTCCTTTTACGCATCCAATTAATAGTTCTGCAACAGAACTCCTAGTCTCCTATGCCATGAGCTCCCCCAAAAGACGATGAAGCACGAAAATGACTTGATCACGTGGTTCTCTTCAAATATTCACCTTAACTCAAATATTATGAATGGGTCTAAGGAGGGGCGAAGCCGCTATCATTCCATTTTTCTTTTCCTCAACCAAAAGGAACTACTGTGGTTTTATCTGTTGAGTCTGTGTATATTTTATTTCATCTGTTTTACATTTTTGTTTGGGTTTCTCACTTAGCTTTTTACTCACCGACTTCGTGGCTGCAAGAATTTTTTTGTGTGTTCTTGCCTTTTGTAATTGGAGTTGTTTGGATGGGTGTTTATCCTTAGGAATTCCTGGAGTGTATAATACCTTTGTGAATAATTTAGTACAACATGGGAAAATGGGTGTCCATCCTTAAGAATTCCTAGAGTGTATCATACCACTATAAGTAATTCAGTACAACATGCGAAAAACTCATTTTTTTATTCGTAATTACAAACATATCTTTTTCAGGCGTAATCACAAACCTATCTCCCTTTCTAGCTAGCAAGGTGATTTCAAACTGCTACTACTCTGCGTAGGCCATCTTGAATGAAGCTTTCGACTCTAACCACAACAAGAGAGTCACTTGTTTACTCCTCTTGAAAGTTGCTTTTAAACAAAATGGGCAAATTTTATACACAACTCCCTCCTTTGAAGACACCCTTGTTGCAAATCGCAACCAATGGTCGATACAAAATCCCACGCTTCTCCTTTGAACAATGTGACTTGTCTCCGAACTTTGTTTCACTCTTTTGTTTTGTGCTTTAACTTCAATGTTTTCATGTTTTTAGCTTTTGTAATTTTTATCCTTGGGAATTCCTAGAGTGCATCATACACTCTGTAAGTAATTTAGTACAACATGGGGAATAATTATTTTCTACGCATAATCACAAACATATAAATTATTTTCTACGCATAATCACAAACATATCTACTGAATGATCCTTTTGACTCTAAACACATATCCGAACATCCGCGAAAGGGTCACTTGTTACTCCTCTTCATAGTTGCTTTTAAGCAAAATGGGCAATTTTATACACAACTCCCTTTGAAGACGCCCTTGTTGCAAATCGCACCCAATGGTCGAGACAAAGTCCCACGCTTCTCCTTCGAGCAATATGACACGTCTCCCAACTTTGTTTCACTCTTTTGTTTTGCAACTTTTGTGTTTTTAACAAGTTTAACTTCAATTCCTCACATATGCATGACTATAAATTATACCTGCACTCTTCTCTTACGACTACCTCTAAAAGTTGACCTCTTTCTATCCACTATCCACAAAGGCGCATATCTCCGAACTCTATTTCACTCTTTTGTTTTGTGCTTTAACTTCAATTCCTCACATTATGTATGCGCTCATCCACGCGTCCCCCGAACGCCGGGGTGGGGTTAGTGACTTATCGGCCACCCGACCTGACGCTTGGTTGCCTTTAATTCAAAACATCTAAATCTATACGGTATGGAAATTGAATTTATTGAGGTTCACATAACAAAACAGCCATCAATGTTTGATAATTAACTTATGCATGAATATAAAATTATATAAATTATACCCACACTCTTCTCTTACGACTACCTCTGGGAGTTGACCTTTCGATATCCACAAAGGTGCCATCTTATGCACGATATAAGGAAAACACCCTGTATACACTAGTAGCGCAATAGCCGCATTGAAGTAGTAGAGGCAAGCTTCATCGTCACGTCTTAGCCCTGGTTTCCCTTGAACAAGTAACAGCGATCGCAAGTTAGATTCAACTTCATCGTGTCCCGTTGAACCTTATCTCGTCCAGTGCCTTGAAATAGAAAACCTGAAACCCGATGAACAAGTAATGGCGATCACAACTTAGATTCAACTTCATCGTACAATGGCAATCGCAACTTGGATTCAATTCAACTTCATCGTGTCCCGTTGAACCTTATCTCGTCCAGTGCCTTGACCCCTAACCTTATTCTCAGCCTTTCTTTCAACTTTCATAAAGTTAGGAGGACGTTGACCGCCGTCAACCTTTAAATCATTATCAGACTTGCGCCAGCCTTCCTCTTTCGTGATGGTAAAAATACTCTTTACGCTCTTCGGCTGCCCCCAGTTCACTCTGGAAATCTGCCGCTAGCTTGCTGGGTGACCAATTTTGAATTTTGAATTTTCACAATTTTTGAATCTATTTTCCGGCAGGGTGAGCACCCCATATGGCAAGAAACACATGTCAGTCGGGCAAGCAGGCAATTTGGCAAGAAAACATACCAGTGCTAATCTTGGCAGTATGCGATTCAATTCGCTGAAAGAGCCGTGAGGCATTCGACATTCCTTGTATCAGTAGATGCTTCGTAACTCAATTCACTCAGAGAGTCGTGAGGTAATTTCGATGTCCCTTGTATCAGAAGTAAATTTAGTACCGAGACTAGTGTTCCCAGAAATGGTTGCTGTGTGTTTACACCTCACAGTTGATGCAAGGTCGCTGATCCATTGTATATGAATCCAAGTTAATTGATTCAAACAACCACATAAAGAGTGAGTTGGGTACAAGTACATAAAATGAAATCAGGTTTTTCCTCTTTATCTTTCCTATAGTTATATTTTCTACTACTTTTTCTTGAGATCCTCTTGCTAAAACATGTCGGTCTGCAAAAGGGGAGAATGGACACAAGGGGAGGGTGGACACATTGCAAGGCCGAGGGTCACACCCCGCACAGGATTGAATTGGTCCCCGTTCATGCAACGAAAAGGCCTGTAATGGGGTTGAATTTGTCCCAGCTCATGCAAACGAAAAGGGCTTTTGTGAGGCAAAAACGTGGGTGGGTGGGTGCGCCATCCTAACGAGGTACCAGACGCCTCCCGTGGCTGGGACTGGTAACGTGCCCCTGCGAGAACAGTCAGGTTCAGTTATTTAGAGTCAGATATCATTACTGGTCAAACTTCATGATCAGGGAGTACAATCCTTATAAGAAGAGGCTGTCAAAATCGACCATACCAACAAGATGGTCGATGTCTCAAAAATCAGACCAAACATTCAAGACTCGAGAGTGAAATGGGTTATAGAAAAAGTGACATAAGCAAATGTTCACTGGCGGAACATACGTTTCATTGAAGAAGAGAACTCTTAACAAAGAATTCTGTGAGAAAGTTGTCCGAGGTCATTGAAGAAGAGAACAAGATGTCTACCATCTTGGCGGAACAATGACCTCGGAACTCCGTAGTGGTGCCTGCCTTCATAAGGTATCCAAGAACCTCTTTTTTTTTTTTTTTTTTTTTGGTGGGGGGGGGGGGGGGGGGGGAAGAGGGGACAACCTGACGTTACGCCGTGCCCACTTGCAATGCAACAACACCCGGGCCCATTCAATGGCTGTGGTGGCTCTGCCTCCACCACAGACAAAGTCTGAGATATAGGACTCTACTCGGAGTGCCAGACATGCAGCAAAATAGGAACCATTCTGCACCCATCCCATTTCAATAGCAGCGGTGCAAAATTGCCTCCTGAGCACGCAAACTCTGAACGGTGGGAGAAGGCAACTGACACCTTCACCACCTCTTTCAATGCAGCCAAACTTGAACCCATTCATTAGCAGCAGGCAGAAAAACTGCGAGGTAGTCCACTGTCTTCACTCCACTACATACCAAAAAAAAAAAAAAAAAAAAAA